TATGACTGCGAGATTTTGAACCTTGCTTGAGTGAGGGAATGGTGGTACCATCAACAGAAATGGGGAATTTGGGAGAACGGATAGACTTAGGAGGTAAGATGATGAGGTTTTTTGAACATGTTGAGTTTAAAGTGTCAGGGGAATATTTAAGTGGAAATGTCCAACAAGCAGTTGTAAATGTGGGATTAGAACTCAGGAGAAATTGAGCTATATCTATAGATAGATAGATTTTATATATATATATATATATATAATATATATATATATATATATATATATATATATATATATATATATATATTATATATAATATATTATACACACACATATTGGAGATTCATTTACTAGATAGGATAGTGACAAAGATAGCATTTTTATATGAAATCTATAGATAGTTCATAAATTTCATTTTCACAGGATATATTAGGTATTTTATTAGAGCAAATAACAAGTAACTAAACTAATTTAAGTTGATAGGGGTTTTTTTCCCCTTTCACAAGGTGAAGTGTTAATTAACAGAGCTAAAAGGCAGGGAAGAACCATGATGGTTATAATCTACACCTTTGATAATCTGTAATTGAATTCTGTAGAGTTCACTGTACTCACCACCACTTTTCACCCTCCTGAGCCTCATGCTATTTATCTCTTCTTTAGCCAAGAGAGAGCTAGCCACAGGCAAAGGTCATCCTTGCTTTCACTTTATAGAGGTGGTTTTGTTTTTTTTTTTTCCCCTTTCCTCAAAGTTCCTAATTTCAGTCCTTGGCAATTTCTTTGTTCATTTGAATAACTTTGCTGCTGTTTCAGCTTTTATTTTCCTTTCTTTTCCTGCTTCTGTGGAACTGCAGCAGTATTTCTAACCATAGCCTCCTCATATGGTCAAACCCTATAGCTTATTTTCTCATTTGTTTTATATATGGCACTATTGTTTCAATATGAAGAATCACATGCCCCCAATGTGAATAAAGTGGCCCAGGATGTTTTTATAACAAAGGCATGTCAGTGGTGATGTGATCTTGGCTCTACAGAATTAGGAGAGCCATGATAAATGGTTAGGGAGTCAAATAATGAGCTATAGTAGTGATATTCAAAAGGGACCTTGTGCAACTATGAAAGAACACATCCCTCTGACACTGCTTTTAGCCAGCTTAAATTTTCTAGGCATAAACAATAATCAGGTAATCAGAATTTTCCAGCTTTTACAGTGAAAATTCATCTGTATAAGATCAATAATAAGTAGTTGCTCCAATATTTCTCTCCTCAGTTTCCCAGTGCCAACGCTTTCTCAGCTGATAGCCTGGACTTACATTAACTGACAAAACAGAGGCCATCCACTAGGATTCATTGATTACCCTCACTTCTTAGCTTAAAACTTCTCTCCATCTTCACTCATCCTTTCATTTACTCCAGTCTCTGAGAAAGTTTCCCTTTCTTGACAAAGTCATCCTCTCTATCTGTGCCTTCATCCCATATGATTCTATTCCATCCAGAAGCTTGTTCCATCAACCTCTCTTCCCCCCCCATGTGTGTTTCTGTCTCTGTCTCTCTCTGTGTGTCTCTGTCTCTCTCTCCCCTTCCTTTCTCCCTTTCATCTTGCCAAGTTTTGTCTTTTTTCTCTTCACAATCTCTTGCTTTTACCATCTGTCACCTTCTCTCCACAGTCATCACCCTACACCTCTCACCTGAACTGTTGCAATAGTTTCCTAGTTGTTCACCCTACCTCGTCTTTCTTCTCTCCAATACAGCCTACACATAGCTGTCAGTGATGACCCAAAAGCACAGATCGGACAATGGTACCTCCCTGCCCAATAAACTCAAGTAGCTCGCTATCATTTCTAGGACTGAGTACAAACTACTTTGTTGGACATTTAAAGCCCTTTGCCTGACCCAGACAAGCTGGCCTCCTTTCTGACTGTCACACATGACATGCCATTGTCCATTCCTGTTCTTCCCAAAGGCTACTCCCCATGCCTGCTAGGCACAACCTTCTCATTTCTACCTCTTCGAATCCCTAATTGTCTTCAGAGTTCATTTCTGACAAAAGGCCTTTTCCCATGCATATGAGGAATGGGGGAAGACCAGTACAAAAGCATGAAAACAGAAAATAGAATGATGCATATGAGGAATAGCAACCAGACCATAATTCCATAGAAAGGCTATGGCTGAAATAATAGGTTCAGGCTAGATTGTGAAGAGCTTTAATTGCCAAACAGAGAAGTTTTTATTTGATTCCAGAGGTAATAAGAAGCCAACAGAGGCTATTGAGTGGAGAAGTGACATACTCAGATTCACACATTAAGAAAATCACTTTGGCAGCTATATGGAAGATGAATTTGAGTTTGGAGAGACTTGAGACAGGAAGACCAGTGAAGAAACTATTGCAATAATCCAGGCAAGAAATGATGGAGAAGGCAATTTCAGTTGAGTGATGAGGTCAGAAGGCAGGTTGCAAAGGGTTGAGAAGTGAGTGAAAGGAGAGGAAGTGGAAGCAACAAATATAGATGGCTTTCTCAAGGAGTTTGGCTAATAAAAGGAAGAAAAATATAATATGGTACTTTGAGGGGATGGTAGGGTCTAGTAAGGTTTTTTTTTAAGGATGAGGTAGACTTGGTTGTGTTTTGAGGTAGAAAGAAAGGAACCAATAGAGAGAGGATGAAGAATAGAGGGAAGGGAATGATTGAGGGGACGATCTGTTAGAGAATGTGGTAAGAGATAAGATCAAGGGTACATGAAGAAGAGTTAGCCTTGGAGAGGAGTTTTTATCAGAGACTGAGGTGAAGGAGGAAAGAATGAGGGCTGATTTCAAATGAAATGAAATGAAGAGAAGGGGTGAAGAAGAGGTATCTCATGGCAAATGCACACTTTTCTAAGTAAAGTATGAGGCAGAGGTCTTCAGTTGTGAAGATTGGAGGAGGGGATTGTGTGGGATGTTTAAAGAAGAACATCCTCTGTTAGAAGTGGAACAGAGAAGTGATTAAGGAGGGTTAAAAGAATGTCTTGACTGTGGTTAGGGTCAACTAAGATTAGATAACATACATTTGCAATGGACCTACTCAGCACAGTTGTGGGATATACATCAGTCAGTCACCCACTCTCCCTCACACTGGAATGTTTTTCCACCTTTCCTCTACTTCATAAAATCCCTAGCTTCCTTCAAAGCACAGTTCAGGTACTGCCCCCTTCAGGAGGTCTCTCCTGATCCCCATGTTTATTAATGTGTCCCTTCCTTACCCCTAAATTACCTTGTATTTAAATTGCACATCTTTTGTATATACTTATTTATCTTTGTGTTTCTTCTCCCCAGTAGAAGGCCAATAAGTGCCTTGAAGACAAGTCCTTTTTTGTTTTTTTTATATGTATTCCCTCGTCCTGTCATGACACATAGAAGGTGCTCAATATATGCTTACTGGATTGAATTGAGTTGTTCAGCTACCAATGGTTTTTAATAGTCAGTACGTTGACATGTGTAGCACAGCCCTGGCATTTAACCTTATAGAAAGATGACATATCTTGTATAATAGCTAAGTTTCTGGAAGGTATTTATAAATTAAATTGTCATAAACTAATTCATTTTCCCATTTGTTTCCATTATCAATAAGAGGTAATTCACTTTATCTATTTGATTTTCAATTTCCTGGAGATCCTAACATTTTAAGTTTGTTTCTCTGCTTCATCCTTTCCACATCCTTTTCATCAAATAGTTAATATTAAGTACACATAACAAAGTCTGCATTTTTGCAATATAAATTATACTTTTCTAATTTATTTAAGTTTCCATTTTTTGTAAGTGGCTTTGAGGAATATTATTCACACTGAGACATTTTCTTATTTTAAAGGATGAAATTATTTAAATTTCTTTGTAATAATAAATACAAATCTAGGTATGGTATCCTTTGAACTCTAGAATGTTTTTCCACAGTATTTGTTTGGAGAATGTTTCCCTTGCTTTGCTCCCCATGAAACTGATATGAGCATTGAATTTCCCTTGGCTTCAAAGTCAGCACTGATCTTGGATTATCTCAGTGGGGTGTGCAGAGAAAAAAGGAAGAAAGAAGGAAAAAAAAGGAAGGAAGGGAGCAAAGTAGAGAGAAAAGGAGGAAGAGAGGGAGGGAGGAAATAAGGAGGGAGGGAAGAAAAAAGAAAGAAGGAAGAGAGGGAAGAAAAGGGAGTAGGGAGGGAGGGAGGAAAGAGAAGAAAGGAAGAGAAAGAAGAAAGAAGAGATAGAGGTTAGAAAGAAAGGAAGGAGGAAAAGAGGAAGGGAAGGAAGAGAGAAAGGAAGAAAGGGAGAGAAGGAGGAAGGAAGGGAAGAAGGAATGGAAGAGGAAGGAAGGAAAGAAGGACGGGAAGAAGGAAGGAAGAAAGGAAAGAAGAAAGGGAGGAAAAAGGAGAGATAAATAAGCTCTTGGAAATATATTATACATTTTTATGTGAACATTTGGGGATTTTTCAAATGATTTTAAAGATATGTTTTACTTTCCAAGTAGCCCCATCAGATTCTGTTAACTATTTCAGATTGAACTTTTTTGTCATCATCGGTGAGAAAAAGAGTCAACAATCCAGGTATATATTTGGATTTTTCCTGGCATGTATGTATATGCACATAATAATAATAATAATGATAGTTAACATTTACATAGTGTTCACTATGTGCCAGACACTGTTCTGTGCACCTTACAATTATTATCTCATTTGATTCTCACAACAAACTTGAGAGATACGTGCTATTATTCTCATTTTACAGATGAGGAAACTGAGATAAACAGCAGTTAAGTGACTTGCTCACATATATATATATATATGTATATATGCACATATATTAAACATGAATGTTGCACACTGTTTACAAAATTAAAATACTTACATTTTTTTCTTTTTAGAGCAAGAAAATTTCAAAAGTTCTAAAAAGAATTTTGTGCAAATATTTTCTACATTGTCTTTAAGCATGTCTTTTTTTTTTCAAAACTGAAATCTACAGTAATACTGTTGTTTACTCTGCCCAACAGATATCTGAAGAAGCCTCATGTAAGAGCTGTAGAACTGTACTGTGAACAGTAAGATATTCATTTTTTTTTTCATCACATAGATCAAGATTGCAATGACTGATGACTGTGATGGATGGATATCTGCCTGCTTGCACACGTTTTTGTTTATTGGCGTAAAACAATTTTCTAATTTACCTGTGTTTCCTAAGAAGTGCATTACGTAGAGGGAACAGCCCTGAACCTGGAGGATTATCTTCAAATCATGTGCAATATAAGAGACTGATGAAAGACAAGAAAGAAAAAAAATATTATTTTTTACATCATTTCAACCTTTTGAATACTTGGTGAAATATAAGCATTCAGAAACTGAAAAAAAAATCAGTGCTGCTAATAAAGAAAGCCTAAATGTTTGGTTTGAAAAGATCAACTGTTACTATTTTCTTTCATAATGAACTTAGGTATTGTCTTCAGTGCTAAGATATTACTGTTCTGTTCTATTTTCTCTGTAAAATTTTATTTATGAAAGTATGTATTAACCAAAGGCTCTCTTATTTCTATTAACCTAATTTCACATAAAGAAATAGTGAAGTCTATACTGTGCCCAGAATAAGGACATTAAAGACAGACTTGCCTAAAAGAAACGTGCCTTGCTTTATGAAGCAAACTCCATGCATTCAGTTTTTTTTTTTAATTCAGAAGAGTAAATTTGCAAATTAATCTTGTCTTAATCTAGGGCTCCAATTTAGGTGTTAACAGTGTTAAACCTTATGAAAGCATGTATAGTATTTACTATACTTTTCATCTTGACTAAAAAGCATAGTATTTAGTTATAATTTTAAATAATTAATAGTTAATATCAATTACTCAACTGTTTTTTTTTCATGGGATGTTGGAAATAGAACTTTTGAGAAAAGAAGTCAATGCAGTATTTCACCTGTCTTTAAGAATAATTACTTCAGAAGTATACCTGTGAAAGTCTAACTTTTAACATTTTTATTTTCTATATTTACACTTTTTTAAGAAATGATTTCTTTTTGCAAAAAGAAGGCAAAGTTTTGTTTGGATAAGGATGGTAGGTAATTGTAAAATTGTTTCTCATTTTGTGGCGGTTCACTTCTCTACCATCCTTACATGTTCACTGTGACATTTCAGCAAAATAGTAGCTATTTATACATTATGTTATAGGCCTTATGGAAAGTCTAACCATGACTGTGTAGTATAAAGAAGAATATTTCCTCTTGCCCATATTTCTTTTTCAAACATATTTAGACACCCACATAAATATATCCATTATTTTGCTATCTAAATGGCACACAAACTTACTTTTTAAAATGTACACTAGAAAATGTTTATTTTGGTTTGAAAATTGAGGCTTCATTTCTAATTCCCTTTGATTTCCTTTAGAAAGAATTATAGTTGCAGAATTTAATTGTTACAATAGTTGCTAAATTTGTTAAAGTCCAGGTGGTTTTACAGAACCTGAAATAAGTATCACTTGTCTTATAGGAGCTATCTCAGATGGGGGCAGTTGAAACTAGAATAGATGATTTAAAAGCAACCCGGTGCCCACTAACAGGAAAACTAAGTGTACAGTAGAGATGGCCCAAACACGTGGTTTTGTGCAGTCTCCCCATGTGCTCACCTGTGGAAAACATACTCAAATGCTGATCATCTCTTTCAGGGCAATATTTCAAGTCTAGATTAGCGTGATAACAAAGTAAAAGGAAGGACTGGTAATTTTCTGGCATACTATCCAAGTAATTTAGCATTAAAGTCCCTTTCTCCCCTTCACTGTATGTTGTGTTGGCCATGACAGCTGATGACCTAGACAGTGACACAGCCAGTCCATCCCAGCTTCTTCGGATGGTAGCCTGAGATAATGAAAAGATCACCAGGGACAGAGTCAGCTAGCCGGGGTTAAAATCCTGGCTCTGTTATTTATTTCAGCTGTATGAGCTGAGATACTTTACTTAACCACAGTGAACTTCAGTTTCTTCATGAGTGAAATGGGGCTTATGACATTCTCATTACTGACCTCACTGGGTTGTTGCGTGTGAAGTGCTTTGTAAACTTTGAAGTGCTAAGTAAATGCAAGCTGTGATTCTTACTGGTCATCACAAACTAGCCAATCATATAACTCTCTACATAAACTGGTTAGGATGGCTGAAATGAACAAACCACTTATGCCATGGTATAGACTTGGCTCAAACTGTGAAAATAAATATACCTACATCTAGATCTCCATCTCCATCTATATCTATCTATATCTCTATCTTTATCTCTATATTGATGTAGGTATCTATGTTAATATTGATACATCTATATCTATCTATAGCTACAGCCACATCTACATGGATATCTATGTAGATAGATATCCATATAGACACAGATATAGATGTAGCTATGGACATAGAGATATAGAGGTCCAAAAGGCATAGATAAAGCATTGTCAGAGTAACATCATAATATACTCACCTGAAAAAGAGTACCTTGTCTCTGATGAAATTCAATCCTTATCTAAATTATCCTCAATCATTTTTCTTCTCCAACAGAACAGTTTTACTATGGAAATCAAACAATTCACTGAACTCCCTTCTAAACGTTTAATTTATGAACATGTGACTGGACAAGTATTTGCCAACGATCTGATAGTAAAAATCAACATAGTTGGCACTAGAAGGAGCAGCCCAAAGAAAGAGAATGGGATGGGACTCTGGGAACAAAGGGGCTATGAGGAGAAAGACGGTTTCATGTCCCTTCAGGGAGCAGGAAGTGAAGAAGATGAAAAGAGGGTTAGGAGTCAGTTTAAAAAGACAAAGCAAAGAGCCTTGATTAAGGTATTTCATAGGTGAATAGATTTCATAGAAATTAAATAAAGCTAGGTAAAGAATGATTCCTACAATGATACTACAGCGGGCAATCTTCACTTATGTTGATTATCAACTCAATTCTGAAAGACATTTCAGTGAGCCCTAAGGGATTACACAACTAAATTGATGATTTTTTTGGAGTGTAGTGCCTTTATATGAAGCACCCTGATATGTTAAAATTCTGAACATGATATTATTAGTGCTGTAATAATAGCATTTCTATGGCACTTAAATGCTTACAAAGCACTTTTCTCACAATAACTCTGTGAGGTAAGTAGGGCAAATACACATTTATTGAGTCAATGCAGCCTCGGAGCTCCTCCTCAGTCCCTTGACCTCATGCTCTGCTGAACACCCAGAGACAAAAAACACCACCTCCTCCCTTATTGTTTATTGATTATTTTGGTAGAGCCCTACGGGGGAAAATGCAGTTTCAAGTCCTATATAATCCCCAATCTCATTGCACCATAGTGGCCTCTCAGATAACATTAGGAAAAGGGGGAGAGGTGCCTGAAGATCCCCAAAATGGTCACCTGAGCTTCTAGAAGGTAAATGAAAAGGAACAAATAAATACTACCAGCTTGAAAAGTTCTTATAGCAAATATGCCACATAGCATCCTAACCTGTGTGACTTCATGTAACCTCAATGGATGTCAGTTTCTTGCTGTATAAAGCAACAGAACTGAATCATTGCTCTCCGATGTCTCTACCAGCTCTAAGATTTGTTCTAATGATTCCAGAAGTTTTCAATGCCCTGAAGAATACTTTTGTCAAAGGTTTCCTATGTATTTCTGAAATGTTAGGATTCAAATGAAAGAAAATCGGGAAAAAAAATCTAAAGTTTTAGCTGGATTCAGGATTTCAGATCTATGGGGAGGACAGGAATTCTTCTAATCCTTTTTTAATCATCTACCATTGACCTACATGCCAGAAGATGGGGGTGGAAGGCAGCTGGGCCACTGATTTTACTCCCAGGTGAGGAAATTCCCTCCACTAAGTCAATACTCTTTCAGCAATTTGCATGACCTAAAAAAATCATTTAATATCAAGAGAATGAAGATGAAATTTCTTATTTGGTTTAGTTCAGTTACATGTTACGGTACCTTAAAATCCCTACATAAAAAGCAAAAGAAGCACACAGGTTTGTTGGTGAAAATGTAGTTGAACCATACTTTAGGCAAGCCAAAATACTGTATTCAAGAAGAAGATAAACCAGAGAATTCTTAAGGATTCTTTGCTTTATATAGGATTCACCTTACGCTATCTTGATTGAATTTACACACAAATCTATTCAGAGAGCCATCCTTGTTTCTCCCTTTTACAATATTCTCTCTCTCTCTCTCTCTCTCTCTCTCTCTCTCTCTCTCTGTCTCTCTCACCACAAGGGTTTCATAAATATTTTACATCAGTTATAACCCAAAGTACAATTTTTTTAAGTTTTAGAATTAAAACATACTAGAAATTTAACTATTTATATTCTTATTTCAAAAATAAATTGGCAACATTGATACTTAATTGTCCTAGCCTTTAAACAGACAATGAAATAAGATAAATGCACTTAATTAAATTTCTAACATTCTTATGTGACCTTACTAAAATAAGCACAAGTATCTGTATTAAATATTGTCAGTTATATAATTTATGTATTTTATAGCATTACCACTGAGTATTGATTTAAGTATGCATTTATTTATACTCCTACCTAAGGCCAACTCTTTGACCAGCCATATACTCTTAAGACTTCATCAGACATGAAGCAAATATATTTTAAAAATAGAATTAATTGATTGGGCACATTTTTGACACATAAATAATGAACATTCTTTTGGTCCTTATAACAGGTACCATGAATTTTTAAATAGTCATGGGCATTTGTAAGGTATTTTGACCCGGACAGAGGAGGCCTGATTTGCAACCATTTTGTAGTCATTCATGCTCATGAAGTATAAGTATATCATGGACCAAATTGTGCTCAGGATTCGCATCAATTTATATGTTCAAAGAGTGACCAGTGGTAAGGAGAAGGGACAGAGATGTGTGCAAATTATATATTCTGACTTTGCACAATGAAGAAGTAACTCATGAGATATCTTTTTAATTGCCAGCAACCTTTTCTGGAGGCTAGTCTTGTACTGTAGAAATAATTTAGTATTGTTGAATGATGTTACTGGGAACATCATTGAAATCATTTAAATAAACTTACTTAATTTGAATAATTCAAAAAAGATCTTGTACTGTGATATTTATCAGGAGTTTATGTAATTTCATTCTGTCCCCACCATTCAAAAAAAAAGAGGCAAGTCATTGATTTTAAGCCTCTATCACAACTGGAAATGTGTATCTTAACAGAATGATTCATTAAAAGATTATTTTGTCTGGCAAGTTTGAGTTTACGAATACATTTTTTTTCTTTTGAGGCATTGCCTTAACTCCTTGTATATTGGTGTTATTGGACTTTGGTCATTCATAATGGAGTGAGTAAAATATGCCAGATTTCAATCCTAGTGCATTGTATTACCACTATTCCTAGCCACAATTTGTGGTGCTTCTCATATTGAAGCTTAACTCATATTGATGTTTTCATGGTCTGGTTTCTAATGCTGGATTAGGGGGAGTTTTGTGAATTTATTTAAAGCTAATTGTCATTGTGGTTTTCTAAATAGTCATAAAATCTTGTAATGCTGAATTTCAGACTAATGTTATCTTTGTATAACCATAATCTAGCTCAGAATATTGCCTTGTGAATTTTAACTGTATTGTGTATATTATATATTAGAATTGCCACACAAAGCATTGTCTTTCTTTAACAGAAACTGATATAAAGGAAAGCAAACAATGTTTGTACAACAAATATATCTATGTAAAATGCTTCTAACTGAGTAAAAGAGAAATATAGATACTCTAGCCAACAGCTCCTTTTTAAAGGCCTACCTGGATAGGTACTGCATAAGTAAGGGCATAGGCATCTAATTTGCATAAATTAAAATAACAAATATATTGCCTCCATATCAAAACTTTTTTTCCCTTCTGAGGTGACCACTGCTATTCTTCTTGAACTTGGATAGAATTTTTATGTCAGACATTCAAAAAACAACAACCTTTGAAGTTTCTTTTTTTAGGTAGAGGATTTTATTAATGTTGGGTTTTTTCTTTTGTTTTGGACGGTTTTTTGAGCTGCATTAAAATACTAAGTTGAACTGCAATGAGCTATTTTCCATAAAAAATGCTTTATGTCCACATATCCTTATTACAGTAAATAAATTTGATGTATAAATCTCTTTTTTAAAAAATCCATCTTAATAACTAATTTCTGCTCAGTCAAAGGGATCAGCCTTGCAGTCAATGCCATTCAGACATTATTATGACTAAAAATATCAGATGACTTTTTAATCTAATGTTTTCCATCATATGTATTTTTCAAACTGTGCAAGGAAAAATCACTTTCTCACATTGTTTTCTATGCCATAAAAACTAGATATGTTATATCATATGGTTAATCTAGTTAAACCTTTGCTGTAGGTAGATCAAATCATGAAAATTTTTTTTTCAAATTTATCCACTTTCCTCACTTACTAGAAATTTTAAAGTCAACTTGATCTTAAAAAATATAATTTAGATTAATTCATTAAACTTTATTGCTAATTGAATCAGATATGTACTAAAATATAATTATTTATTCTACTATTTTCACCTTAGGCAACTTATTTAATCTCTCAGTGCTCTAGGCAGCACTCTAAAACTATAAATTGCAGATAGAGTGCCAACCTGCTTCTGTAGGAGGACTTACCTCGCCTGGGTGTTTCTTATGCCAGTTCAATCAGATTCAGTCTGTATCGTCATCCTTTATTCCTTGCACTCCACATTTCTTGTAACTATTCATATAGAATGCAGAGACAAATGTCACATTTCAACTTTATTAACACTTGACCTTTTCTGATATATGATGAGCTTTAAGCTCATTCTTTAAAATCCATTTAAGAATTGATTTCTTTCCCTTTATAACCACTTAAATTAAAAATGGAGCCCCATGAATTGTTAAATGATGGTGCCTCAACACAATTGCAGATGTTTTGGATGTATATTGTTATGATTCTCTAGAATAATTGATATGCATCAACATTGCTTTTCCTACGTGAATCAACAATCTGTGACATATACTATACTTTTAATGGCTAGTAATATAAAGTTGCTGTGAATATTGTAATGGAACATACATTTTAGCTGAAATTTCAAATTTCCAACCAAATTTTATTTTATTTTATTGACTAACACAGGTCAATTACACAAATGCTAACTTTTTTTTTTTTGCAGAACGAATAACATTTGTTTTTTGAGTAATGACCATAACCAATGTAATTCTAAATTAAGGTATAATATCAAATATGTACCAGGTATTTCGTGTTATGTTCATAAATTCCATTTTAAAAATTTAATCATGTTTATTTGTCACATATGATGTAAAGCAGAAATGAGGTCTTACTTTCTGCTCTCTAATTTCAATTCCATGATGACTTGCCCTTTTTGTTTATTACCAGTAAATACAAGTGAGTTTTGATTGTGTGATTTTAAAAATCTGGTCAAGTTTCTTTTGGTTTTCATTGGAATTTTGAAATGTTAAGTTAAGCAGAATTCAATAAAATGGCAGAAATACATCCTGTTTTATTAAGTATCTTTTCCAATTGATTATGTTGGGGGGAGGAGGGGGGAGGGAGGGAGGGAAGGAGGAAGGGGGAGAGGGAGGGAAAGAGGGAAAGAAGGAAGGAAGGAAGGAAGGAAGGAAGGAAGGAAGGAAGGAAGGAAGGAAGGAAGGAAGGAAGTAAGGAAGGAAGGAAGGAAGGAAGTAAGGAAGGAAGGAAGGAAGGAAGGAAGGAAGGAAGGAAGGAAGGAAGGAAGAAACATTCAAAAACATTCCCTTGCCAGTAGCCTGAGAATTAGTCACTTGTAAGAATAACTCCACAGATGCCTAAATGTCTCTGGTGAATGTTTGCAGTCTTTGCTAGCTCTCTAGAGCTTAGGGACTCCCTCTTATTTTCCGTCTATGCCTCAAACTGCTGGCTGCCTCATAGACTAGTGAAAAGCCATTATAATAAGCATTTAGGAAGATAATCTATGAATGCTTACGTTTGCTACTACTAGCTGTAAATTGCTGCTTTTCAGGTCATCTCTGTATCCCATGGTCAAGTTGGTACTTTATAAAAGTCAAATCAATTCTACAAGCATTTATTGCACTTACTTTGTGCCAGGCCCTGTGCTAAGTGCTGAGAAGACAAGAACAAACAGAAAGAAAGGCAACTAAGACATCACATACGTTTATCTGGGAATGGGTCTTGGTGACAACATTCAGAATGATCAGACTAGTCACTGGATTGACCAGGAAACCAAGCAGAGGCCAATCCGATATCACTTAACTGGGTTCTAATAAAAAAAAATCTGATCATAGTTCTCTCCCTTCTAGCAGTGAATTTAAGTTTGGACATGGTTAAAGCTGGTGCCCAACCTTAAAGGTTCTAGTAACTAACTACAATGTTAATCCTTATTCATTATCATGAGTGCTCTGAAACTTTACATTTGCAAATGGGAATATAGTGTTGAGAAGCAGCATAAGATGGTGGATAGAAAGAAAGCCTTCCTGGGACTCTAGTAATGAAAAATGTAACTTCTGCTCTTGCCAGGATCTTTTTTTTTATCAGGAATGCCCATTGTAGCCACAGGCACTTATAAATAAAGCATAAGGGTCACAAATCTAGAAATGGAAGCCATCTTGTCCAAACCCTTTATTTTACAAATGATTAAACTAGGACTCTGAAAACGTGAGACTTACCTGAGGTCACACAGGTTTCTCCTGTAATAAATTTAAGTGATTTTATAACTTAATGACTCCATTTTCTACTTTTCTCAAACAATGATAAATTTAGTTATCTCTGGTAATGAGGATTGGGAGAAACTGAAATGCCCCAAGTGCAACTCACTTTATGATTTAAATTTTTTTTAAATTTTATTCTGAACTTATAATTGACGACATAAGGGCTTATGTAAGAAGGGTGATGCAATATAAGAACCTTGTCTTAGACTGAAAAAATCTCAGTGTGAACCCAAGTTCTAACACTGAATAACTGGGCAAATTTCAATGCCTCTTTGAGTCCCATATTCCTCACCTATAAAATGAAGATAATTATGTTTGCATTACTACTTCAAGGTTGTTCTGAAGAAAGTATTTTTCTAAATCCTATGATAAGTCAATGTAAATCATTATTATTATATTTAGGAACTAAAGATCTGCCCACAGTCAAGCCATTTTTGTTTAAATATGGCCAGTGTAGGTATCATTTCACATCTCAAATCATTTACTAAGAGGAAACAAGAAGAGGAGGAACAGGTCAAGCAACCCCCCAGATCTCTTCATTTCCAAAGGTCTATGTGGCGGACACTGCAAGATGCTGTAATATTTAGCACCTTGGAGAGTGCCAAATTTGGATCGGTACTTAATGCATGCTTTGGATGAAGATTATGAATACAAATCAACTACTAGACAGCATCACATTAATCTTCATGATGTCCCCAGGAGGTAGGTGTCAGGTATTACAAGTTTCATTTATATCATTATGCAAAACTTGAAATAGACACCAGTTCACATGATGAGAATTGAAAAATAATCATGAAGGTGGTAATGAAAATTAGGTGAAGACTCTAGGAGAAATCGTGTGTGTGTATGTGTGTGTGTGTGTGTAAATCATCTCTTTGGTTTCCATAGGAGTCAATATCTGTGGGAGAACTGAAGATATTTGCTACAGGGAAATGCTTGTTTGCTTATATTAGAATTGTAGTAGGAGGTAGAGAGAAATAGCATTTGTTAAAGTGGATAACCAACATAATTTTACTTATGATAATGTGACCTAGATTTGAGAAAAAATGATGAATTCTTGATGTGGGAGGCACCTCTGGGATAGCAGAAGCCCTGAATTCAAGTCTTGGCTCTGACATCTCCCTTGAAGGGACAGAAGACTTCTTTTGCCTCAGTTTCCTTGTCTGTAAAATGTGAATAATACATACTGCCTAGCTCAAGGGCTTGTTGTGAGGATGAAATTAGATAATGAAAACAATGCACTTTGTAAAATCATCAACTCTCATATAAATAACAGTTGGTAGTAGTATCATTATCAGTGTCGTAATGGTTTCCCCCCTCTGGAGCATTTCACTATGACAGATGGAAATGCACCATTCTATCAAGCATATTTAGTTGCTGTTAAGTCATGTCCAACACTTCATGACCCCATTTGAGGCTTTCTTGGCAAAGGTACTGGAGTGGTTTGCTGTTTCATTTTTCAGCCCATTTTGCAGATCAGAAAACTGAGGCAAACAGGGTTAGTGACTTGCCGAGAGTCACACAGCTAGTAAGTGTCTGAGAACAGATTTGAACTCAGGAAGATGAGTCTTCCTGACTCCAGGTCCAACAATCTCAACCAAATAACAATCCCCTGCCAACGTCCCCAGAAATGTCATTGAGGGTGTGCCCGACAACTGTTTCTCTAAGGGCATTCTGCAGCGATGTGATGAGTTCTACTTTGCCAAGAAAACTTTAAAGCTATTGACAGTCTTCCTTTAAGATACTACTTTTTAGATCATCGGCCACAAAATATCTCCTGAGCCCAACACAGGAAAGTGTGAAATTTTTGCAGTTAACCAGTATTGCCTTTCCTGATTAAGTAAAAATGTGAGTTAAGGTCAGACAGGCCCAAGGGGCATTTATTTGTTGGTCCAAAGGTAACCTATTCTTAAAAATGTTTGGAACATATGCGAGTAATAGTATTTTATATATTCATAGTTTTCAAAGCATTTTCACATTATCATTTAATGGAAATCTGATAATTTCATGCCTTTGATCATGCAATAATAACAATAATAATAATAATGATAGCTAAAATTTTTATGGCACCTACTATGTGCCAAGCACTGTGCTAAGTGCTTTACAATTATTATCTCCATTGATCCTCACAACAACCCTGGGAAGTAGGTACTGTTATTATCTCCATTTTACAGATGAGGAAATTAAGGCAGACAAGTTTAAGTGACTTTCCCAAGGACAAATAGCTAGTAAGTGTCTCAGGTTAGATTTGAACTCAGATTTTTCTGACTTCAGGCCCAATGTTCTATCTACTGAGCCACCTAGCACAGCAAGGAAAGGTTAGTTGTTGCTGTGGACCTCATTTTAATCAAGACATGGTGGTGAGGTGCAGAGACCCCTGGATTTGTAGTCAGGAGACCTAAGATGAAATCTCAGATCTCCCCCTAACTACCTGTGTGACCTTTACTTAAAGCCCCTGGGATTCATCTTTCTCATCGACAAAATGAGGTTTAAGTTAGATGAACTCCCCAGTGTCTTCCAACTATCTATGATTCTGTGGATAAAGAGGTTCTTTGGGCCAAAGTAGAAATGAGTGTGAGATTGTCTCCAGTTTTCCCAGACAAGTAGAAATGTACAGGGACAGGGATGGGGGGGAGCAGGGGAGGTGAGGACAGGGAGAAACATCATCATCCCATCTTCCAATATGTAGTAAGGTACCATAAGGCACAGACTGATAATACCCTAAACTTTAGGAGAATGGATTATGAATAGTGCCAGTGTGTAGGATCCCATGTTCTAAAATTTTACAAAGGAAATTGGCTTGTGTGAGGTGGAAGCTTCTCTGGAATGCTTTTCTGGGGATACAAATGCAAATTATTTTGATGAGTAAGACCAAGAGGAGCTACGTAAAGAAATTATGTAGCTGCTTAGGGAACCTATCAGCCAGCTAGATTTTTAAAAAACATGCATGTACAAAAGATAACAACATGTGGAATGATTCTCCAAGAATGTCTGGATGGCTAAAGCCCAGAATAGGCTAGGAATGAATGCTAAAAACAATAAAAGAGGCTCTTTAAGGTGTCCTGGGGGAGGAGCAAGAGGAGAAAGGGACCATAATAAAAGGAAATGGCAGGAAAGCTCATGAACTGCCTCTTTGATAATGTCTTCTAGATTTTTCCCAGGAATCAACAAGTTAATTAGTTTTCTTTTGAAAATGTAATTCCATCCAACATTTATTAAGTATCTACTATATGCTAGGCACTGAGCTAGGTGGTAGAGATATAATGACAAAAAATTGAAAGAGGTATTGTCCTCAAGGAGTTTGCATCTTATTAGACGAATGCAACATGTACCCAGATAGGTAAATAAAATGTCTAATCAAAATGGGCAGCTAGGTGGCACAGTAGATGGAGTGCTGGACCAGGAGTCAGGAAGACCTGGGTTTAAACCTTGTCTAGACACTTACTAGCTGTGTAACTTTGGGCAAGTCACTTAAACCTGTTTGCCTCAGTTTCCTCATCTGTAAGAATGAGCTGAAGAAGGAAATGACAAACCACTCCAGTATCTCTGCCAAGAAAACCTCAAATGGGGTCAAGAAGAGTCAGACACAGCTGAATAGCTATCAAAATAATATGAAGTAATTTCAAGAGGGAAAGAGTGACAATAACTTGAAGGTTGGTGGGGGCAGGGGGAGGCAGGGGGAGGTCCATTAGGAAATGCCTCACATACGAATCATCTGAGCTATATCTTGAAGAAAGCTAAGAGTTCCAAAAGGTGAATGTGATAAGGTAATGAGTTCTAGATGTGGTT